GAAATGTGTTTTAAGATGCTCAGATTTCATCCCCACTTTAGTGTGAGAGCAGAGTAAAAATTGTTGTTGTTATTTGTTTTGTTTTTTTTAAAGACAAAAAGTAAAACAGACCCCATGAGGGATTCACAGCGTGAACAGTGCTAAGAGCTGTGCTACACAGGTGAGAAAGGAAAATATAATCATCTATTTGTGTAAATGGCTGAGGGAAAGATTGTTTGGTCAATCACAAAAATACACAGAAATACAATCAATACAATCTCATAAACTCATAACAGGACTTCTTGAAGACATCTTTAGTCACAAATTGAAAACAGGACTTCGGGCACCTACAGCAGTGTGTTTTGGTAGGAGAAATTAAGCAAAGCTTAATTCGGCATTAAATCCCATGTGAATATTTTTACACAAGTATTCAGGGAAGGCCAATCATGCTTCTTAGCTCACACACACTGCAGTAAGTGCTTGTTTCAGAGAAACAAAATCAAATTAAATACCAATAAAAAATAAACAAGTCACAAAATAAAACAAGTAAATACACTCTACCGTGTGCAGGCCCATGCTCAAAGACACAGGCGAATGGACCCTCATGCCTGAACCATAGTCCTTGATGGACCGAGGATCTGGCTCCGCTCACAGTCTTAATGTCATTTCTAGTGGCTCTTCCCCCAAAGTCTTACTTTTAAATCCTAGAAACTTTCCTCATATTACTGGAATGTATCTAGACTGTCCAAACAGTCTCTGCATTTCTCAGCAGGTCTTTGTGTGGTCTATTCCACTGTTAATGTCTTTTTAACCCAAGTATGGGAATCGTCTTTAAAATGTTCAATTGCCGTTTTAGGCTAGGGATCCTCCCTGCCTGACTCAACCTCCATATTACCTCCACCATAACCCCCCTATTTAGTAAGCGAACTGTCTGGTTTGAGCGGCGGGGGCAGGGAGGCCATATCCACGTCGGGAAGCGAGTGACCACCTCTTCAGGAACAGTCCGGACTCCTTCAGGCCCTTGGACGGTGAGGGGAACTCGAGGGGAGAGAGCTGAAACACAAGTGTCACCTGACCATACTGTCTTTTCTCTTTAGGTTATGTGATATGTAGCTGGCACAGTGCAAGAGTACAAAAACAGTTTGGGGTTTGTTTGGTTTTTTTTGGGAGTGACTGGCTTTCTGTAAAGTCTGAATCTCGTGGTGAGTACAGCACTTTGTCAGCCTTCCCCCCCACCATTGTTCCTGCATGTCTGCAGTGAGAGTGAGGGTGGGGGGCGTGAGGAAGTCTTGACTTTTCTGTTTTGTTTTGTTTTTTTGAGGGGGATTATTTTGATTGTCTTTACCTATCAGGTGTAAATTTCCAGGCACTCAGTTCATTTTGGGCCTGCTCCAGTTTGTCTTTAGTCTGTTCCAGTTCAGCCTTCATTTTGAGGAAAAACAAGTTGATGGACGGGTCCACCATGGACGACCGCAGTTGGGCCACGCTCGGCTGCTGGACTTGCTTGAGGTACTGGATCTGCGTCTGCAGGATACAACAAACACATGTCAGTGGCAGGAACAGATAAACAAGTGTTTTATCATGGTTCAAGAGAACATTCTTGAGTTTGGCTCCGATCTCCAGTAGCCGTGTTTTTCCCTCTTAAAAAATAAACAAAATGAATAAAATTGGAAATCGCAATTTTCTGATGGCAACTTTTGATGTGGACTCAAACAATTTAAGCATATTGCCTTCCATCTACAAAGTTTTCAAGACAAAATCTCTAAGTGAACAATTACTTCCAATTATTTGACAGCTGCCTTTCCAGGCCCGGGGAGATCAGACTGGTCCAAAAAAAAAAAAAAACCTCACCTGCCAAAGTTATGAAGACATCAACCATTTTTTGTTGGGGTTTTTTTTTGTGTGTGTGTCTCAAACACATTTAGCTTAAAATTCTGGCATTTCTGTTCAAAACTGTGTCCCCATGCTTTCCATTTCAATGTGACTCCAGGGTTTCCAAGTTTAAAGCCTGTGCGTTGAGCTCACCTCAGCTGCACTTTAAGAATGGCATGTGCTACCATAAAGCAGCTGTTTGATCCACTGAGCTGTCAATCTGGCAAGAGCAAAGGATGCCTTGGCTTGAAATAATTTACTTTTAGCCTCTTTTCCATGATCATGACAGTTTACTAAGGAACGCTCTCTGCTGGAGTGTTGCAAATTATTCAATTCATTGAAATTTAGTAAAAAAGTTAAATTATTTTGCACTTTGAAAACTTGTATTATCAAATTTAGAATATAGGATAATAATTACTCAGTTTTGACTTGTTTAATAGCAAACTGTAACATCATTACTTATTCACAAAGTTACCCATGTTCTTATCCATGAAATCTTAATGAAAAAAAGATCACTTAAACGTAATGTTAGAAGGGCTCAATATTCCTATAAGAAATAAGAACTCAAACTGTGGGACAAATAGAAACTGAATTCTATTCAGTCATGTCAAGCGTAATCAAAATGAGAGGAATAAATACATACTGTGCACTCTTGCATTTCCTGCTCCTTGGTGGCAAGTCGCATGACCAAGATGTTTTCCCTCCGCGCGGACTCCTGCTGCTGCTGCTTGAGCTTTTCCTCCGACTCCTTCAGCCCTGGAACGTCATTGGCTGAGGCGATAAAAGCGGTGCAGAAATGCAAAACATATCAGATTAATTCCTTTCAGTGACTGCCACAGACAAGCAGCACCAGGCAAAAACATGGTGATTGTTGAGATGCTGACAAGGTTAAATCATAACCATGTCTTATAGCAGGTGTACTTACAACATAGCTCCGCATATTTTGCCTCCAAGACCTGGACATAGGCTTCATGCTGTTTCCACCTGTGATGGGCAGAGCATGTTTTAGCTGCTCATCCAAAACAACAACACCAAATTCCCCCTACCACATTATTAATCACCAATAGCAGAGCTGTTACCTACCTTGCACACAACTCTTCTCTGGTCAGAGTCTTCATGTCCGATTCACTAAGGCGAACCTGTGTGAACGAAAACCCAAGCACTGGTTACATAAAGAAACCCATTAGAGTATTTGGAGGGTGGTGGGCAGGGTCGTGACACATAACAAATTACAAGGGGTACATTAGAATAAGAAAAGAAACTCACTTTCTTGGGTAGAGGCTCCTCGTTGGTCATTGTGAACGCTGTAAGTAAAAAGGCGACAGGAGATCAGCAGTAATTACAGCTTGGGCTCGTGTGCTTGAAGGACTGCATCATGTTTTAACGCGATGGCTATCAACACGCAGTACAATGTACAGCAACTCTGCTAACTCGGTACAAAAGCGGTGCCTTTCAGCTAATAGATGACCCTGATGGCGTGTGAGGAACACATTAACTATCCCGCAAAACTAAATCAAAGTTAATATAATAGCAGTTTATAAGCGCAGCCGAGCCTTGTGTTAGCTCGTGTGACAAGCAGCAGCAGCAGCAGCAACGGACCGCGAGAAATGGAAAATATGCTAACCAAGGTTAACACCAGGCTGCTAATAAGGTTTAGCTGTTTCCGTTAGCAAACTAACTACACGTAACGAAACAGCAGTACCGAGCTTCACTATTTCCCTATGTCCAGCCTGGCAGCATACAAGTCTTGGCTCTGTTTTCCGCTCCTTGTTATCACAAAATGGCGGTGAAGGAAATGACTCCCTCCCTAGCACTCCTTTTCCTGAAACTAGCGGGTTCTGGGTTGCAGATATCGGGCCTTCAGCCATAAAAAAAAAAAGCACTTACCAGATCAGTTTCTTTCGATGTTTCTCGGTCCTCTTGGCGTCAGGGGTTCTTTATGAAACGAGAACCTGCGACTTGGTTAAAATTTATGGGGAAGTTATTTGTAGTCGTCTCGCTTCGGCGTGGTCAACAGCATCTTCCTCGCGGTCGACTAAACAGAATGGCTGTAGCTGGGCGCTGCGCCGCACTTGCCTTACTGCAGAGTTCTAGCACAGATGGAGGGAAAGAGCGAGACCTCTCACTCCGCAGCGATTTTAAGATTATAAAATGTACCCCTCAAATAACAGTAAACAGTAGATATTTTTTATATGATTTTGATGAATTCATGCCCGCATTACTATTTTTATTGTATTATTTTTAGCCTTAGTTTGTATGAATGCATGTTTTTAAGTCATTAACTAATGTATTTATGTTAACAAATGTATTTAAATATATACACAGCACAAAGCTCTCCCTTTTGTACTATTGGTAGGAGTAGTTTGAAGAAATATTTTTAATTATTATGAGTCTTCATAAACCTAATTATTTGAATTAATTCATTAAATAAATCTAGAGTAGAGAAAGCCTTAGTGTACCTTGACATTAGTCTTTGGTGCATTATCGACTGTGAGTTGTACCGAAACTTGTTTAGGCTACTGAAGAAAGAAGTGGTTCTTTTTAGGATCTTGAAATGTAGACTTAATCAAAAATAACTCGAAATTGTGAGATAATAAGCCATATTTTCTTTTTTATTTCAGTTGCAGAAATAACTTCCTGTTGTTCCATGAAGTTGACACTTCTGGTGGATGCTAGAATTGTTCTCAGTTTAGTGTCCACCACAAGTGATTACGTGTTCCGAATTCAAACCTGAGGGTTTTCCCTTTTAAGCAAGCGTTGTTTGCTTCTTAGTGCGCCATTTGTCTTAATATAGACGATCTCCGCCATTGCCTCCACTGTTGCGGGGGAACGTTCACGTGACTCTCTGCTGTTAGTTTTTTATTTTTTTAATTATGCTTGCAGACAGTAATAAGAACTACTCCTTTAAATATATGCTTTGTTTTGCAATAAATAAACAGAGTGAACAGATTTACAATAAATTAAACGGATTAGAATAAAAAATATCTAAAGGGAGGAGTTGCAAAATAATACAGAAGGTAAGGAGCTTTATTATTATTATTATTCCAGAGTATCGGGATGCGTTTTTAATACAGTCTCTCTCATCTGCCAAGTGTCTCTAATAATGTGTATCGTTGTCACATGTAGCCGTTGACTCTGTGTTTATCTAATTCCCGGACACCCCCACAGCATAAATGTAATGGTACGGTCGCCTCCTCTGTCAACTTGAAATTGCACATTTCAAGGGCAGTTGTAATCAGCGTGTGTATTCCTTCATTCTGTCTATTGAACAGCATTAGGAACATGCTTTGCAGAGCTGGACAAATACGTAGGTAAGATTGTTGTCACATTGTTGAGCATTTGGTACGTGTACTGCGCTCAAAGTGCATACGGAATGGGGGCTCTTGACTTCTGCTAGCAGCAGTTGTTCTTGAACGTGACAGTTGCTTATTGAGAGCTAGCACTTAGCTAACCGAAATGCTAACTGGCAGCTCAGCTAGGTTAGCTTATGGCGCACTAAATACAGGTTTTTGTTTATTAAACGCGTAATCATGCTGTTATGAACTCGTGCATGAAGTTATGAACCGAATGTCTTAATATTGAGCCAGTATCATATGTTCAATGAACTAATATGTAGATGGCTGTGCTTCAAGAGCTGCATAAATCTAGTATCAACAACAGTCATTTAGGTCAGTTGCTCAAGTAAGCTAAAACTAACTGAAAATCCTACCTCTGATACCCTGCAGGGAAGTAATTTGGTACGACTTAGTTGCACAGCCTTGTCAATTGCTCCTTAGCAAATTACTCGTTGATTAGGAAACTAAAGTTTAAAAGTAGTTCTGTTTGTTATATCTCAGTTTCTGTTGGAATGTATCCCTAAATAACTGAATAACAGTTTTCTTGCTGATGTCATGACATTTTCATGATGTCATGCCTTATTTCATGCTGTATTGATTCATTATTTGTTTTCAGGTGTGCAGCCAGCCTCAGCCACACTATTAGCAAGGTAGCTGCATCGAAGCAGAAGCATACTCTCCCTGACCTGACATACGACTATGGTGCCCTGGAGCCCTACGTCAGTGCAGAGATCATGCAGCTGCACCACAGCAAGCACCATGCTACATATGTCAACAACCTAAATGTTACAGAAGAGAAGTATCAGGAGGCACTTGCAAAGGGTATGGGCAGAGTCGCATGATATTTCACTTCGCTTGAACTCGAATTGAAAATGAAGACTTTAAAAGTAGTTGTCTATATGAAGTTGTAATTAAGATTCTGATACATACATTAGTTTTTTTTCCTTAAAGATTTTTCCCCAAAACATAAATGTGTAAGAGTTTGACAGAAGCTGTATGTTGTGTATATTTGACTTACATTTTTAGGAGACGTGACAACACAGGTTGCTCTCCAGCCTGCTCTCAAGTTTAATGGAGGCGGCCACATTAACCACACCATCTTCTGGACAAATCTCTCTCCAAATGGTGGAGGCGAACCACAAGGTAAGACAGAGAAATTTACAAAAATTGAAACAGGGTTTTGTATTTTGTTTGTTTTTCTACTCGGGAGTGGATATTGAACTTAAAACCAACAGGAGACCACAAAATGTCTCTGTTAGATACATGAGTATTTATGTAACTGTTAACTAGCAGAGTTGCCTGAGCAACTTGGTAACTTGCTTGTCTGTCAAGGATTATAGTTTCCTTCCCCCTAGTGGTATGAAACTGTATATGACCAGACAAACTATTCATAGCCAGTTAACATATCATCTTGGGGGGAAATGGTTGCATCATCACTTGGATGATGCAACGTTTCTTTCACTGAAAACACTCCAGCCAAGACATTTGTGTTGTGCCATTTCACTGAAGCATACACATCTGTTTGACAACTTTGTAGGAGAGCTAATGGAGGCAATCAAACGGGACTTTGGCTCCTTTCAGAAGATGAAAGAGAAGATGTCTGCTGTTACGGTGGCTGTGCAGGGCTCAGGCTGGGGGTGGCTTGGCTTTGACAAGGACAGTGGAAGACTTCGCATTGCTGCTTGTGCTAACCAGGATCCTTTGCAGGGGACAACAGGTCAGTTGGACTTTCTGTGATTTGGTGCTATATAAATAAAACTAAATTGAATGAATGCGACTTGACCTTCTAACTGCAACATGGCCTATTCATATTAATTTTTTTCTTTTTTTTTTTTTTTTTTTTGGCGCTTAGGTCTCATTCCCCTGCTTGGTATTGATGTATGGGAGCATGCTTACTACCTTCAATACAAGAATGTGCGACCTGACTATGTGAAAGCTATCTGGAGTGTAGTCAACTGGGAGAACGTGAGTGAGCGTCTTCAGATGGCCAGAAAGTAGAAGCTGATGCACAGCAACCACTAAGACTTGGATCAAAGGGTAGTTGCCTGCATTAAATCAGACTTATGACAGTTCAAATCTTCAGAAGGTAACTGGCATTTAAACTGTCTTTAAATTTTTTTTTTTTTTTTTTTTTTTTTTTTTTTTGGTTTTTTTTTTTCAGAATTATTGTCTAAAGGCAAAGAAAGAAGAAGAAAGAAGAAACATCGTTTCTTTTCCATCTCCTTTACTGTTTTTTTTTTTTTGTTCGTTGCACTTTTTTTTTTCTTTTGAACACTCCTGACTTCAACCTGGCATTTGCTTTCCACTGCCACTTTTCCCTCTTTGTCCTTTTTGACCTTTCCTCATCTGCTTTTTCCTCTCGTCCACTCATAGTGCCCATCCAGGCTGGCGTGATCACAGGAGCT